TGCCTCTGTATTTGAAGTGGCAAATGGAAATGTGCCAAATGATCTGACGAGAGAAAAATGTGGATTTCTCTCCGCAGCTATTTGCAGAGGGGGAAGAAAAAATAAATGCTCAGTTTTGTCTATTGCACAGGGATCTAAACATTACTTAGAAAAATGCCTTCCAACTGGAGACCAACAAAACATGACATGTACTCAACTTTAAAACTCTGATTCCTAAATTATTTCCAGCAATAACTGCTTTGTTCCCTGCTCTCTCTTTTTTTCTCTGGCAAAGCACATCCAGTGTCAGTAGCTGGTGGTTTGAGAGACTTTCAGTTTGAAGACAATTTTTACAGCAAAGCTGGGAGCTAGAGGAGACACAACAAGCTCCCTCTGCCTGCTCTTTCATTCTCTGGCTCTTCCACGGTTTTTCTTTTGTGCTTTTGCCTCCCAGCAAAGTAAATAACAGCAGCTCACTGAGGACTGTGATAGACTGCTAGTTTAGCAAAATGGCATTGTGTTCATGTTTTACAGACACTGGGAAACACCAGTCTCTAGGCCTTTTTCATGTCTTGACGGTTTCACTCGATTTTCTCACCAGCTCTTCATGTAGAAGAGTTCATTGTCACCATAGCAGTGGAAGACGGCGTATCTAGACTTGTCAGAAAGGAGACACTATTGTATTTTAGTCTTCACTTTGTTTCGCTGCCACAGTCTGACTTCCAATGTCTGCAGAAACAAAAAAAAAGTGGAAAAGCTGGAGCAGCGCAAATAAACAAAACAAAACGAATGATTTTGCATCTAAAAATATAGATGTTATAGGGAGAAAAGTAATTTGAATCTAAATGGCATGTACTGGTTACCGTCTGTAAGTTGTGGGGAAAGGTGTAAGCATAAAAAGTGGCACAAATTAGACCAGTGGAAGGGTTTTTAAGACTCAAGACTTATGCTACAGTCGGACAACACTGTTCTGCTCCTTGTCGCACGTCCTCTCTCAGCTCTTTAACTGGTTTTGACTTAAACGCCGACACTAATGCCCAAATAACTCCACATTATTGTCACTGAACATGTTATCAATTACTTTGGTGCACATTCAACCACAAAGACATTTACTTAATGGTGCCTCCCATGGCAGCCTGTGCGGGTTGCTAAGACTCACACTTTTGCAATAAATGACAAGGGAACCATTAAGAAAACAAAACAAGATTAAACGTCAGTTGGAATACAGACATACATCTGTCTAGGACAGATTGTTGGAGTTTTTGTTTTTTTATCTTCTATGTATGTAAATAAACAACTAACATGCTGTTTTTTGTTTTTTTTTAAATCCTATTTTTATTTAAAATCATTGCACATTTTCAAAATTGCTTATTCAAAATCATTGCACATTTTCAAAATTGCTTCTATATAGTTTGCTGGGTGAGGTGCAGAATCGTGCTTGTCATCAGAGTGTTGCTGGTTTGAATCCCAGGGGTGTTTTGTGTTGAGCAGGACTGACTATTTCCCCTGATCCCCAGCTAAGCCCAGCTGGTATTTTCTTCTTCTTCTCTATTTCTTCTGCCTGTTGTATTTGACTGATGAAGGAAATTAAATACGGTTCTTGTAAAAAAAATAATCTCCATTTATCTCCTAATGATGAATGATCAGTCTTAGTCAAACAATATCACACATTTCCTATTGTCATACATTTCTTTGCTATATAGCAGGGTCGGCCAACCAATCAGAGGCTAAGAGCCATCATTTTTACTATGTTACCCTATTAAAACATCCTGCTTTCTTTTTGCTAGGCATTTTTGCCTTTTGAGAGCACATTTGGTAGACAAAGCCACAGTTTTTACTGTGTTATCCTATTAAAAACATCCTGCTTTCATCTTCATACTTTCCTTTTGCTAGGCATTTTTTCCTGCCTTTTGAGAGCACATTTGGTAGACATACACTACTAGTATTTCCCTCCAAGTCATTTGCGTTAACTCCCATGCACGTGAGATTCACATACACTAAAAAAAAACCCACAAAATTTGATGTGAACGCAAGAACCGCATGAAACCGGGCAAAGAGGCGGGTTGGCTATGCCTGCTATATAGTATTTTACTAATTTCTTACTCTATCTGATTTCTATGTCGTACCTTACATCACATTTCAGTCCAGGCATAAAATGGACTCAGAGCAACAAATGCAGAGCCCTGCTGTGACAGCATGTATTCAATCAAGGACAAGAGTGGCTTCAAAACCCTAATCATCATCCAGAGAGAAGGCTGTGTTCGTGAATCTAATTCCACTTGACTTGTCCTGCTATTAAAAAAAAACAGCCTGTCAGATGGTGGTTGAAGGACTGCCCTTTGGGGGGAGACTTTCTTTTACATCTACAGGACGTGTTGTAAGATAAGAATCAGGTGTGTGCGTTGGGAAGGTTGCAGTACTTCAAAGAGTGGGGGCATGAAAAACTTAGGTCACCAACACTTTGATCTTCAGAAATAAAAAAAAAACAGACTTCTGTTTGGAAGAAAAGAAACACCAAAAAATATGTTTTATTGAAGTGTATTGATAGTATTTGATAAAAGTTTAGTAAAGAATAAGTATACAGGGGATTTATGTCGATTTTTGCTGAACTCACATACTGAACATTAGTACCAATGTCACTCACCTACACTAACACAGTGGTAACATTATAATCTAGGACATCAAAACATCAGAGGAATCTGACTCATGCCTGGAAGCCACAATGAAGGGCAAAAGGTTCCCAATCTGACTCATGCCTGGAAGCCATAATGAAGGGCAAAAAGTTCCCAAAAAAACACAAACTAAAGAAAGTGAATGTAGCACAATCCAATGTACGGCGTACAGCTAGTTAAAGTAAAAGCTGCCGTTTGTGTAGACGCCGTAGTGTTGACGTATTCGTCCACTCCACTCACCAACAAATAATTGTGTTGGCGTGCTTTAATGCTGTACTTTTTAACGATGGAACAAGACTAAATAAATAAATGAGACATAAATTGGCGACACAACTATGAAACACAGTAGGTCAAGGATGTTGTAAACAGACTACCGCCATGCACTTACTTAAAGCTGTACACACAGATCAGTACTTTGCACCAGCCTTAAATGAGTGTATACCAGAAGCTAATCCTTAACGAGGTGTTTAAGGCACGGCGAGCCATCTTTGGCTTTAAAAGTGAGTTCACTTTTGTGAATAAAGTGAGTTTTCCTGCTGCTGCTCTGCTCTGACGGAGCAGACATGGCAGATAGATGACAGTTTTTGTTAGGGAAGGAAATTAGAAGCCGGACGTTAAGGAACTGCTAAGCAGAAGCAGCAGGATCAACTTCGGGGGGATAATTGTCATCTTTTTCACTTGAGGCTCTAACAACAGGAAACCGAAGCTGAAAGGGTCGGATAATTGGAGGAGACTTGGGTTTTCGTTGTGTTGAATGTTCAGTCATCGCTGCTTAGAAACACTCTCATTGTAACCTATTAAAACCTCCTCTGTGTCTAATTTCCCCGCGTGCCTGTGATATCACATGCTGCGTGAAGGGCTGATGGTTTTTCTTGGCTTAATGCTGAAGTTGATTCCTTCTCGCCTGCTCTCTTTAAACCCCTCCGTCCCTATTTATTTGTCAGAGGTTATGTTCAGGGACGTTCCTTTGTCATCCGTCAGCGTGGCCCATAAAACACACTGTCATGACTGACTGGCCACGCTCCAAACTCATTACTGATTGGCTGACAGAGCGGGTCACTGTGTCCTGCTCTGCTGTGTTTGACTCCTGTTTGCCAGACATTCTAGGCCCAGAAAACTTTAAATGCGGCGCTGCATTTCCTCGCACCACTCCTCACAGCCTCGCACTCAAGGTCACATGAATATGGATTTACCCTCCACTTCCAGTGCACACATACTGATGATGAAGTCTGAGATCCATTCATAGGGATTATAATTCAGAGTGCAGGTCTGATCGGAGCCAACACTCTGGTCTGCTGACAGTCTTGGTGTGTGTGTGTTTTAAGTTGAGGGGAAAGTGTGGAGAAAGGCGGGAGTCTGGGGGGTAGAGGGTGGAGGAGTGGAGGGTTATAGGAACAAGAAAGATGAAGAGAAGCCTCTCTACCAGCACAGAGCTGAGGTGAAAAGTGGAAAAGGGCGAATGAGGAAATGATAGTGAGATCACCTGGATACTGGGCTGAGTCCAGTGAGAGAGACATGGAAAAAATGTTGACACCTTTGATCAGCTTTATGTTGTACTCATCAAAGGCCATGTTGTGCAGCAGAAATCTGTCCTCATCTGGGTGTGCGTGTGGTAAAAAAATAAAAATAGAATGTATTCACTCTAAATTCACTTTAAGACTGAACTCACTGGACATAATACTGGACATAATTTTTTTTTTTTAAATGAATCAAAAAAAGCCTTTCTCTAACACAGTAGTTCAAACCTTGTTGGAGGTACTGAACCCCATCTTTCTCTAACACAGTAGTTCTAACGTTGTTGGAGTTACTGAACCCCATCAGTTTCATATGCGCCTTGTCCTCCACTGAACCCCTAAGGCTGACTCACCGAACCCAGGTTATGGACCACTGCTCTAACATATCTAAAACCAATGCCTTGGTTTTTAAGTCATTTGGACAAACGAACTGGAAAGGTTGAACAAACTCTAATCTTGCTCCTTGACATTTAACCTGACAAAAAAAAAAAAAAAAAACATTTACCTTTCTAGTAATTGCAGGTACCATTTCCAATGACGTACTTCATTGTTTATATTTCCCCTGGTGAACCAAATAAAATTCAAAACATTTTCCGATGTTTAACTTTTGTCGTTGTTTATATTATCCCGCCATTCCAAAAAAGGACCTGCACATTCACGCTGAATTTCTTTGCTTTTTCCCCCCCTTTTCTATGGCTTTGTGTTTTGTCTGGCATATGATTTTAACTTTTCACTCATTGATGCCCTTGCCTTGGTGCTCTCAAAGTGTGATTCAGCACTTCTCGTTGGTACTCTTAATGCCGTATTCACCTCTTTTTCTGAATTTCTCCTGCAGACAACAAGGCACCATTACAAAGGGCTTGCCCACAGCGGAATATCAATGTGGCTCCAGTGGCACTGGAAGCTTCCCATCAGAAGGAAGTCCGCCAAGAGTCAGAGGTTCGTCTCTGTGCTGCTAAGGCAAAGGCTGCAACAAATGCAGAGCCCAGCCGCAGGTACAGGAACAGCCCAGGTCACAGTGCCAGGGTGGAGACAGAGAGAGTGGTGGGAAAAGAGCCGGTTAAAGTGGCTGACAAAGAAAGGGAAGGTAAAGTAGCTCCATCGGCCTTCCAGTCCTCTTCCTCTGGAGATAGTCTTGGTTGCAGCAACATGAGTGGTGAGACAGATGTGGAGGCTCTTTTGGCCAAACTGAGAGCCTTGTGAAGTAGCTTTGATGAAACTTACCTTAGAGGCCTAGAGCTGCTGTAAACACACTGAAACGTGCTCGGAATTCTCTCCCAGGTTATCCCGTGAAACAGAATAGAAATAAAAACAACCAGTTGCGGGACACTTTTAGTTTAGAAAAAAACAATATAAATTATTAAAAACCATTCCCACTCCCCAGTTTTTCCAGAAATCCTCTAGCTCATGGCATGCACTGTAGTCTGCGGAGTGTACTGCGTTAGCAAACATGCTTCACGTGGTGGTTTGCGTTTATATAGTGCATCCACTATGCTCGCTTCAATGCTTTTAAAGCCAAAGATTCCTATTCATTTTTTTCTTTTTCTCTGAAGTTGACAGATAAGCAAAATTTCTACCTTATCGATAGACGTTCGCTTGTCACGTATTTTTCATTTTTATATAATCAGCACAGTTTATTGAAAATGAGCTGTGGTCTCGCTGGGCACTAATTTCCATACCTTTATATAAAGAAACGCACTCTTGTTATTTACGTCCTATAATAGTAATATAAACATTCCACCGTTACATATTAGACTTTTGCGAGTTGTTAGAAATGACCAGTTTTGAATACCAAGAATTCTGATGAGTGGTCCATTATTATCAATGTCAGCCGTGAGCTAAAAGCAGACGTGATCGTACATACAAAGACTAGATAAATTGTCCACACATACATTAAGAACAGTTGTAAGTAGTTCCAAGGAGTACACTGTAAAATAAAACGTTTATCTGAATCACTATCACTTAGGCTGTATCTCTAAGTTTACAATTACATTTTCCTCACTTTCATTAAATGCTTTTTTTTTTCATGTTTCAAACTTTGATTTATGGTCTTAATATCATTTTGGATTTTTTTTGTTGGCTTTTTTGTTAGCTCATTTATATCTTATATTCCAAAGCTGTTTCTTCCCAAATCAAAAACATATATAGCCAGAAAATATACACATATATGTCTTTAGCAGAGTATATAAGTTTGTGTCTTTGACGAGTTTCATGTTTTGCTGTTTTTCGTTGTGATTTTATTGTAGTACATTTGAGGAGGAGATGGATGTTTGGGCTTTACATAATCTACTATAAAGAGCTAAAACATATCCAGGAGAAATAATTGTTTTTGTAAAATCACACCTATATTGGACCAATCTTTTTTACCTGCTTTTAGGCCAATTTACAATAAAACCTTAAAATGAATGGTTGTTTTCTTCTCACTAAGATCACTATCATTTCAAATCAACATGTCTGAAGACAAAAAAAAAACATCAATTTTATGGCATATGTTTGTCTGTGTAGCACAATATCCTGCATTTTATAAAGACTAACATATAATCAGATTAGAGAAGCCAAACACTGTCACATCTCACCTGGAAATAGCCAGTCATCAAAAACGTTCACCACAGTAACCACGCTGTCTCCGTCTCCTGGTCCTTGTCACCAAAACATTTCAAAATCTTAGTTCTCTACGTCCAACTTTATTTATCCAATTGATGCACCCCAAATCCCCACGCTTTTCTTTCGTGACTGAAATCTGGCAGTGACACGGCTTGTTGTGTGGGGTTTTAACTGCGGCCGGCATGAACAGCAACTGGATAAAGCATAAAATGCTTCACGTTTTTTGACTATTGGGGTTCATGAGAAAAAAAAAATCAATTTTTATACCCTATTGATCGATATTGAAAAAATTGAGATGAAATCTATTGTTTGGTTTTTTTTGTTTGGTTTTTAACCCAGCCATTATATGTAAGTGTTTCATAGGTTGATTTTACTGTGAAAATATGTGTGTTTGCGCTCCAGAACACGGACAGAAAAATACAAAAAAAAAAAAAAAATGCCACTAATGAGAGACAAACATCTAGATCATACTGGAACGTTGGGAGGCCTCCATAACTATACCTAACGAGTTTCCACATGGTAAAAAAAATCAGTGAGTTAGAAAAAAAAAGAAAACCCAACTTGAACACAAGCTATCAAACAGGTTTCTAATAAATGCTTTGCTGCACCACAGGTTCCAGATTGATGGAGTTCTTGTGCAGTCATCAGCTAGGTGATGGAGGGTTTTGGGCTGGAAAAATCAGAAATTACTTGGTAGTTCCTGAGGAAGTCAAAAATAACGGATTCTAGCTGATAACAATAACTCGACAAAATATATATATCTATATGTATAGATATATATATTATTTAAATCTGTAAAAAAAACATGATGAAACTTTTGCTGCTGTGGGCATGTAGATAGTAGATGTAGAAAATCAGATGTGACCATCATCAACTTCTGACCTTAACGTATTTCACAACATGTAAAATCCTCGAAGAAACATGAAGGCAGAGAGTACAACTGAAAACATAAGCTCTGAGAACTAGATTTTCAAGTAAAATAAAACAGTTTTCTATTCCAAGTTCACACAAAGTATTTGGCCCTGTGAAAGGAATTACAAAGGTTCCTTCTTTCATGACGTGTGTTCTGTGTGCACTTCCTGTTAGAAGCAACCAAGACGCCTCCTAAAATTGGATGTGCAGTCAAGCTAATAACAGTCTACATTCTCAGTGTTTATGTATATTTTATGTCTAATATATAATCAGCTGATGTTTTTTAGATGATTCTTTGTGTAAACGTTTTTCAGTCAGTTAAATATCACTTTTATTAAATTACTTGAACATTTTGAGGCTCCTTTAAACATGCTAGCCTTTAATATGTGAGTCTTTTCTAACTCTCATTAACACATTTCAATAGAGGCTGCAGTGTCCTTGGATGAGCTGTTGTATTATTACAGTATAACTGCATATAGAACTTTGAAAAGGTCTACCCAAAAACTTGGTCTCAGGGGTTAGTTTGACTGTTCTGGCTAACAAAGGCGTTAACACAAAAATGTCGTTTTTAAACTTTAACATAAAGATACAGTGTACAAAAAGTAAAAATTTCAACAAAGCAAGGATTTCAAAAGTCTGAATGTGTCCTGGTTCTAAGTAGTAACAGGCGATACCAGATTATTTGATTTCATACGACACAGATTAAGTTTACCAATACCAAATTCAGGGACAAATTCTCAAATCGAATTCTTCTCAATTGATACTTGTGTGAGTGTCGATATATCAATACCATAGAATCGATACTACCTTCTTGTAGTTCCAGCTGAGAGTAGATGCCTTGGATCAGGGATGTCAAACTCTTTTTGGTTTCAGGGGCCACATACAGTTTGATCAGATGTCAAGTGGGCAGTACCAGTACAATCATAACATAATTACCTATAAATAACAATAAGTCCATGTTAATTTGAAATTATTCATATTTAATCATTCAACAAAACATTACAATCATGAGAAGTTTGTGCATTTCTTTACTTTCCAAATTCATCAAGCAGGCCAGATTGAACCCCCAATTTGACTGTTCTGGCTAACAATATGTTTGACATTCATATATTTTTAATTGATGAAACAAAATATGTTAAGTAGCTGCTATATATTTTTAATTAATGAAACAAAATATGTTAAGTAGCTGCTGTGATTTAAAAAAAAAGGATAAACTGAATAAAATGTGTAATTCAACAGTAAATAAAACCCTTCACGTAACAAAATGATTGAAAGATGAACTGTTAACCAAATAACATGCTGATGTTACTCATCGGTGACTAGATACTAACAGCACTCCGGAGGTCACATCTGTGTAGACCCTAATTTAGCGTCATGTGGTTGAGGTTAACCCTGAGCTTTTAAAGCATGTCTCTTTCTATGACAAGGCTGGCTGCCGTCTGTTCTTTTTGTCCCAGAGGTTTGCAATCTTCTCAACTATTCAAGTCTGTTGAAACTTTTGAAAATCTTTTTTTTTTTCTTTTTTTTTTAAGTTTTCTCATAGTTTGTCTGCAAGGGTAACTATTCTTTTCCATGTGTCATCTTGTTGTAAAGCCTCAGCCTCACAAGAGTCCATTCCCTTCACCAAGAAGGTCGGTTTTTGAAAGGGATTGTCTGTATATTAATAAGCAGAACCACACATAAAAGTCTTCTTCCTTGAGAAGATGGATGGTTTATCTTTTTTGTATATACCGTCACATGACACATCTGTCTCAAAGGGCTTTACAATCTATAATAAGAACTGAAATTAAACTTAAAATATCGCCCTAAATGTATATACATTCAATGTTTATATTTAAATTGAAATGAAGAAGGATAAAACGCACACGCTGAGCACATGTTTTGGCAATGGTGGGGAGAAAAAAACAGAGAAATCTTCCGATCCAGACTCAGCGTTTTGTATATACCGTCACATGACACATCTGTCTCAAAGGGCTTTACAATCTATAATATGAACTGAAATTAAACTTAAAATATCGCCCTAAATGTATATACATTCAATGTTTATATTTAAATTGAAATGAAGAAGGATAAAACGCACACGCTGAGCACATGTTTTGGCAATGGTGGGGAGAAAAAAACAGAGAAATCTT